ACTTCGGATGGAGTTCGTACGATACTTGATCTGTCCATTATTTCAAGTATCACCTGCCTATGATAAAATTGCTTCAATGAGTATCATAGGCTATTTATGTTAAACGAGACGACACAGGAATTCCACTAAATCTTTCCGGCCATTCTGAAGGGATTCCATCCAGGAGGAAGGAGGATATAAAGGATTAACGATCACTCCAAGTTTAATTTTGTTGTTTGGTGGTCTGTATTCCTGAACACACTAACCTGCGCTTTGTGCCGTTTCGCCTCCGCGAAAACCAAAGCAGAGTGGAAAATACCCTTGTCGAGCGCCTCAAACAAGTTTGTTCGCGTAGAGCACGGTTTTGCAATGATGAAATAGGTTGTGGTGTAGCCCTCGCACAAAATGTAGGGACACACCAGCTGTTTAACCTGCTCAACAGAATTTACTGTGACATAGTCGAGGAACAGCTACAAAGTACGAGTGTTAAAGGTTTCAAAATATTTTTTTTTATTTAAAATTAGTTTCACCTGGCCTTTCCCTCGCCTAGCGCACTCGCATGACGATTCTCAGCACTTACTATGATCAAAGGGATTTAGAACCGGTAAACAGAAGAAAACAATCCAAACGCAAAATTATGACCTTTATTGTCTGCCTCTCACCCATTTACGCACAGGAAGGACTTAAAATAAGTTAAAATAGGAGAGGACTTTGAATACGGACAGAAGAACTCTTATCAGGCACGATATTTTGACCGTCAACATTTTTAGAAAGAAGCACCAATATCACCCAATCACATTGCCTAGGAACCAATAAATTAATGAGTCCTCTCCCTCACTTGAGTGACCAAAATGGGATTTCTCCTCACAAAATTGATTCATTTGAGGTCCAAAAACATGATTAGCTTAAGGTAAAAAGGTGTGTAAAATTATAAGAAATTAATTTTTAAACCTCTCACTTACTAACATCAGTATACATATTCTCTGTGCTGTTATCCATGAATTTCCCAAGGTGCTGACAAGGAGAATTTGTTTAACAATCAGGAGATTCTTTAGCTAGAGATAATATCCTTTCTTCTTGTGTGTGATCCAAGGATAATATTTAAGGAGAAAATTAGATGCTGGTTAAAAGGTTAAGGTTGTTACAACACTGTTAGGTAAGTCACTGATTTGAGTTTTGGCCTCAATCTGCTTCGTGTGGGTTACTTCTCAATGAAGCCAGTACAATTCTTTTGATTGTTGCAATGAGAGAGGGGAAATTGTTCATTAGATTTTAGGAGTTAACAGTTTATTCATTGTTTGTTTCAAAATATATGGAATACATGTAACAAAATGCAGATGGTAACATAGCTAGCACCAAATCTGCCATTAAGGTTTTAACCAGGTACAAGGTCTGGCCAAACTGAAACAACTGTTTTTTTTAGGAGGATGTAAGCTAAGAAGCATAAGTCAACTCCTTGAGTGTTCAGGTGTTTGACTTGTGCCATTCCATGTTTTCAATGCCAAAAGGAATAAAAATTATTTTCATCATTCACACATTGTTCACAAATGTAAAGACAACAAGAGTAACCATTTCTCATGCTCAGACAACAAATATTGGGGGGGAGAAAGGTGACCTATTATCATCATAATAGGATACATGAAAAAATTACTCAGTTCTGATTGGTAAAGATAAATGCATTTCAGGTAGTTCAATGCAGAAGAGGGTTATTTCAATGCAAATAAGTAACAAACCAGACTGAACAATTCCTTGAACTGTTCAGCTGGACTTTGAACTTTTTTTTGCATCTTAAAGATGTGAAAATATCATTGTATATTATTGTTTTGATCATACATGTCACTTGCAGGGTTTGAATAAATTATTTTTACACTTGCATAATTATGATAAGCTATCTCTTATTTTTTCAGTTATATTATTAATACGTAATCACATGATTTTTCTTCTGCAATTTGGAATAAATAAGCACTTGTAAATTTTTCAAAGACCTCAAATTGCACTCACCCTATGCACTTGTGCAATTTTGTTAGTCTTTGAAAAATTTACTCGTGTTTATTTATTCCCAATTGTACTAGAAATCATGTGATTACCTGCACTTATAAAAAGTATTCATCAAGAGCATTAACGATTACAGATTGGCTTAAGAGGAATCTTAACAGCACCCCTGTAGGTAAAAAAAATCCATGAACAGCTCACAGTCAGTTGATACTCATTCCAGGAAGAACAAAAGTGATCCTGCAAAATTAATTGAAGGGCAAACAGTCAAGTATTACACAATGCTTTGTGTCATTTACTTGTACAGCAAATAGGGCTACATGCACATTGCATCCCATATAACTTATATGTGCTGTGGTCACAATATAACAAAATGTTCTTTTCTGCAAAGAAGTGTTCTGATCCTCACTGCATGCACCTTGTCTCCTCTTAATCAGAGAAATCAACACATAGTAATTATAGAATAATCTCCAATGGAATATATGACATTTGCTTGTCCAATAAATGAAACCTCTTCTTTCATTGCCGAATATCATCTTTTCTTTTCTATCACCAGCTTTTCATGTCTGTACATTTGACCTAAGGACACCTGCAAAAGATGCAATATAAAACATATCATATGGTCTTTCTCACTCTGTCTCTACCCAGAACACATTTCATGCTACTGATCAGAGCTAATATGTGGGACATTTGTGATATATAGACCTAACATCTGCCCCAGCTTACCTTCAACCAATGATTTTTCAATGGATCAGTTCGTAGATTATCAAACTGCTAACCTAGATCTGGGCAGGGTTCAGTACTTACAAGTGTTTTTTGTTTTCACTTGTAACACATACTAAAATTGACACCAAACAATATCTAGTCTAGCTCTTTTTTTTTTTTTTTTGCTGTTTTGGAAGTGTTAGTATCTAATCCTGATAACTTTGATAAAAGAAAAATGGCAAGTAAAGAATAAGAAAAAGATGAACAAGTACCTGTCTTTTCATTACTTGTAAACTATCCTCTGCTCTCTTAATTAGTGTCCTGATTTTTTCTGGATCTGAGATATCTTTGTTTTCTCTGAAGGCATCTTTTATTCTTCTGGTGGCATACATCCTAACATAAAGATTTAAACAACATCCATTAAAAGAGAAATTCCTCAAATTTACCTCCACAAAAAAAAGATTGAATTTGGTACGCTAAGCCTTTTTTGTATGCCATTTATCTGACCTCCCCAAATAAAAAAAAAAGGCCAGTTGATGAAGATCCAGGATTCAATCATTTTTTACAGCTGTTCCACGTAGCTTTTACAAGAAAACTGCTTCAAAGTAAATTAAGCATTCAATTTTGCTTATGCAAGTATGCGAGTTTGTGAAGAATCCATTCCAAAGCTGTTTCATGCACAAATTTTCTGCCAAGCCTGGAAAAAAGAGCAGCTGGGCTATCCAAAATTGAAGTATTTGCTTTTAAAATAAATTAATAAATAATAAGTTTACATGGATGCTGAACTTTTCATGTGTTTAATTCAAGGTATTGGGTTATGTCATCAAAAGTTTGGTGTTTAAAGTGGGTCTTATGTGTATTTTCTTTTTTGGATCCTTGAGGTATGCTCTTTGTTTTGATTGCCAATAAAGTTGCTATTAAGGATCAAGCTTGCTATTGAAAAATATTCTAGTCCACATGCTTTGTAGGCCTATTTGTGTAACACCTAAGTTAACCACAAGGATTTGGTATTCTCTGCAGAGTACAGTCAACCCCAATAAGATTTCAAGTGTTTCCTTTGCTTGTGGGCTCCAATTTTTTATTTATTTTTTTATATTTTTTTTAATATTGAAAACTTTGTAAATTATCCCCTGCCACACTCCTATTGCAGAACACAGAAAAAATGAGAAAGTAAATCAGTTTCCAATCTTTATCTATGTCTTGTAAGTTTATGGTTTCTTTTGATGTTGAAAGTCTCTATACTAAAATACCCCTTGAGGAGTGTATTGACTTAGCGGTCAATTATATTTTCAAGGGCAATCCCAACATTAAGCTAAGCAAACCTGACCTTAGAAGCCTCTTCACTACAGCTACTGCCCAGACTCATTTCATATTTAATGGTTCTTTTTATGATCAAATAGATGGCGTAGCCATGGGGTCTCCCCTGCTCCTGTCTTAGCTAACCTTTTCATGGGACATCATGAAAAACTTTGGTTGCAAAATTTTCATGGCTCTACAATTTTATTTTATCGTTGGTATGTTGATGATACTTTTTGTTTATTTAACTCAGATTGCGATGTCACTATATTTTTCCACTATATCAACTCTAGGCACCCTAACATCAGGTTCACTATAGAAAAGCAGGTTAATCACAAATTACCCTTTTTAGATGTCCTGACTAACAACCATGACCCCAATTCCTCTCTAACTAGTGTTTACTGCAAGAAAACTTTCACTGGGTCACTAACTAATTATTTCAGCTTCACCTCATACTCTTACAAAGTGGGTCTCATTAAGGCTCTCGTTGATAGGGCCTACAAGATTAATAACACCTGGTTGGGGTTTCATGAGGACATTAACAAACTTACTGATATTCTAAAAAAGAATCTTTTCCCTGCTCATTTAATCGAGAAGATTATAAACCGTTACATCACTGGGACCCAAAGCAATTATCATCTCCTGGGGTTCCCTTCCCACCACTTCACTTATGTTTTACTTTGAGCTACCCTAGATAGGCCACTTTTCTGCTATCACTCGAAAAAAGATTCACCTTTTTACTAAGTGCTGTTGCAATGACTTGGATATTAAACTGATTTTTGCTTTGATTAAAATCGGCCACTTGTTTGGTGCGAAAGACCCTGTCCCTAATGGGCTCCGTTCACAAGTGGTTTATAAGTTTGTATGTGCTGGCTATAATGCCTGTTATGTTGGTGAAACCTGCTGGCATTTTTCCACAAGTGTTAGAGAACACTTAGACAGTGACATGGCCTCTCACATTTTCAAGCATCTGAAAGAATCTGCACTTTATGTTCAGCAGATAACTTCCATGTTTTAGATCATGCCTCTACCGGTTTTCAACTCAAGATAAAAGAGGCTATTCATATTCAAAGAGAACAACCATAACCATCCTTGAATCAACAATTACATCATGTAAATCTAAAACTATCCTTTTAATTCTCACACTTTCATGCTTTACCTCTTTTCTTGTTGTCACTATTTACCATAATTAGCATTGTTCTACTCATTATATAATTAACTGAAGATGACAGAAGTTTCTGTCGAAACATGTTTTACAGACTTAAAAGTTTTGTCGCTTTCTTTAAATTCTTGACTTGCCTGCTAATATCAAGACCCTTTGGAAACATTATTTTCATAGGTTGTGAACAAATAAAAAAGAACTAATTCTGCATCATGCAAAAACCCCTTTCACCCCCTCAACAAGCAAATGAAGAGCCCCTAAGGGCTTGACAAATTGGAGGGAGGGGAAAGAAATGGTAACATTTCCGCACAGCCCCATACTATTGTAAAACAAATCTGTTTTCCCAAAGGCAATGTATAGTTTTTGTCATTGTTTGTCTATCCAAGAACTGAATGCATAACGTAGTATGGGGCTGTGCGGAAATTTTACCAAAGAAACAACTGGAATGATGAAATGGACCAAACAAAGCGGTCATATGACAACCAAATGTCAGTCAACAGCTAACCAATGTCAACAAGGAGGTCTGGGACTAATTAAGTTATTCCCTTGGAATATGAACCACGTGCATGCCTTGAGCGATGTTAAGTTATTTCGTAAGCGTTGTAACTAAAGGGTAAGATACAACGAGAAAATCTACACCAGCGTCCATCTTTATAGAACTGCGCTTAAGATACAAACTGGACAGACTCTCTTCCTAAGATCGAGGTTACGTAATGAAAGGTAGAAATTTGGCAACAACGTTTCAGGGAGGGATGGCTAAATTTAGAGATAAAAAACAGAATTTGCAAAATATCAGGCAAAATCTTCTTTTTGATAAGAAAGCATGAGGAGCACTACACACCTGAAGTTATAACTGGTAAATGCACTCCCCATTCTTAACATCTGACGGTAAAGTTGTAGAACTTCTCGACTTGAAGACATATTGAAGACAGCCGCCATTGGCAAAGGATCAATGTAACGCATGCTCTTTTCGATTGTTTTGCTCGTGGGCTCATGTGCCTCGTGGTACCTCGTCGGAGTGACTCAGTCGATTCTGAGAAGTTAAGCTTAGCAGACCTTGACAGGGACAATAAGGATTAGTCAACCGTAATCATGACTCAGTTATTTTGCTTACTGCCCATGAGAATGGTGTTGTTATTTCAAAGGGCCTGAGCGATGGCTAGGAATCACGTTTTGTTGTTGGGGCTTTTTTTAAAGCTGGTTTTTCTTATTCACTCGAGGTGAGAATTTTCATTCCTATTTCCTTTCAGGTGCCAGTGTTTTTACACGTGATTTGTGATTCCATGCATGACCCCTTACTTCCGCTGAGAAAGCGAAATCTCTGAATACTCGTAGATCCATGCAACATGGCTTTGTTGTAATATTTATTTACCTCTCTCTCTGTTTGTGCTTTGATTTTGTACATTCAGTCCCATGAGGAAAGAAGCACGGCTTATAATATAAAGCGCGAAAGTGCTGGCAGAATTGTTTCGTTTTCGATTTGGATTTGAATCAGATGGAATTTGATATACAACTTTAAGAAAATTAGATTTGTTTTGTTAAACTATAGACGTAAACTTCTCCTTGCTTGTGGATCTAAATAAATTGTCGATCTATTGCAGTGATTTCTAGCGAATACGATACATTTACGAGAAATAAAATGGTAAACAATTATCTTATTCATCGCTCCTCATTTGTTGTTTAAGTCTGCAGAATATTCAAAGTATTGTATTTAGAAACCAGTCTCTGCTTGTTTAGTTATTGCACTTTTTCAGAAATATATAGTAGTTCACACGAAAGGAGACGTGTTTCCAACAGATTTGTTACAAATTTATCATAAATTTCAGTTTTAAATAGAGTTCGGAAAAATTTGTTCTGCTCTACCTCCCAACTCAAATACGTGTCCTGAAAGGAAGAAAATGTGTTACATATCATGGGTCAAAACTATATAACTCCTAAGGAGGAACAAAATCATTAACTTCCTATGGAAACAAAGACTTGAACTTTTGCCTTGCATGTGATCAGGTCATGCACCTTAAAACTACGGCAAATTTGTGTACCAGCCTGCCTCAAGAAAATATTTTTTAAGTCAAAGCAGCTAAATACATTAAAAAACGAAGTGAAAAATACATTTGGAAAATTTTAATTGGTGGTGTATAATATGAAAAAGGTGTTTTCCTGAATATTACAATTTCTGTTACTTCAAACCTATTATCTGCTATTCCTTGACTATGACCAGAGATCAGTATTGGACTATGCTCTAATGTTTATGCTTTGACTACTGAAGGCTCCATTTCAATGGAAGAAAGTGATCTTCCTGTTGCATTAAAATGAGGAGGGCTCTAATCTCACAGTGTTTGCATTTAAAATTCTTGAATTTTTAGCATTTTTGATATATAGATTTTTTAATTTACATTTGGGATTTCTAATATTTTACAATGAAGTTGCTAAGTGACACGTACCCTTGTATAATTTGTTCTATTTTGAGTGGAGGGATAACAATACTTCTACCTCCATAGGGAAAAAGTAAGTTTTGTTTCCCTGGAAACCTTCAGTATTCTACAGGGCAAAGCCTAGAGGAACAGTCAGGGTGTCTGGGAAACAAAACTTGCCATTTCCCTTTGGGCTAGTTGTTCAATGTCTACTGTCAGAATTTTTGGTGTAAAGGGAAATAAAAGACAATTGTTGAGGTAATGGGGTTTTCCCATTGTCGTACTGACCTTGAGTGTGGAATCAGTGTTATCTTTTGTCACAAACTTAATGATCTAGATTAAGTTCACTGGCCAGTAAAGCAAGCACAAAGAACTGAATAGATTTTGTTTCAAATACCTATTTTTAATTAATTGCTCATTGGAATTTATTTCTTTACAGTGAACAGTTTGAAGATCCTTTACAGCAGCATATTTTAAGTAATGAGGATGGTAACCATGAATTGAGTGCATTGGTAAGGAATGATCAATTTCAGTATCTGAGCAAATGCGCTTATATACACCCCTTGCTTAATCCAACAGTGGTCAACTGATAATAAGATAGGTTAATTTTGTGTTAAGAGAGGGGTAGGTGTGCAGTTATCCAGATACTAACATTTATCCAAGACTCTTTTTTACACTATATTTCCATTTTTTTGATATTTTTGTTATTTTATATTGTTGTTGTTGTTTTTTTTTAAACAGGAATTTCAAAAAATCTTATTTGAATATGATAAGGATGGAGATGGAGAACTGTCAGGACAGGAAATGTCAAAATACATTGAGGATACTTTGGTGGGTATTTTTGGAACAAACTACTGTCTAAATTTGTAGGGCAATAAATATTCATGTTTTTGCGACAGCAATAAGTAGGCATCTATTTTGTATTGCTTTTGACCTTTGATATATTCATTAAGTGTGAATGGTAGTTTAGTTTATACCTGATTGGTAATAGTAGGAATATTTATAGATATGCCATTTTGTAACCTCGGTTTATTAGATTTTATTTGGAAAATATTGTACACTATATAAGCATTAAATTATCATATAAGCATTTAATTATTATTAATATCTGTTTTCATTTAAGCCTTTGATACTCAGGAGTGACTAATGGATAATTTCTCCATGAATATATTTATAAACTCTATATATTTATACTCCATGTACATTTTCAAGCAGAAGAGTGATGAGAAGTACCAAAAATGTCAACTATAGGATTTTGTTAGATTTGGTCTAAATTCTCATTGCTAACTTTAAAAGAAATATATGGTAGACAGTGTGAAGAATTGTTATTTAGATCTTGGGAGTGAAAGAGTTAACACCAAATTGCACTTATAATCATGTTGTTTCCTATACTTACATAGCAAAAGGTGTAAAGCCCCATAAGAATCAAAGTTGATCGAAAAAAATTTTATCTCTTTCTTTAATTGTAATCATCAGGCAACCTTAAAACCAGAAACTGGTGGAAGAGATTCCAAAGAAAAGCTACAGAAAGGTTCAGTTGGTTATAGGGGTTCAAAGCAGAAATCTTCAAAAACAGCACAGACATGGAGTGTGAAACAGATTGTTGGGGGTCTGGTAGTAGTCTTTTTTGTGACTGCAGTCTGTGTTGCATTACTACAAAGGAGGGACCAAACGTCTAGCCAGACAGGTGTGAATTATGGACAAAATTATTGTTTTCCATATTTATCTACACATTAAATTTTGTCTTAAGGATGTCAGTTTTCTTCTAAGACTCTGTATCAATTAAAAATGATTTTTACCTGGAGTAACAGTACACTATGCCGTGATAGATTGTTTAATGTTCTTAAATGTTACTGAACCAATAATACATATGTATTTTTTGCTATTTGATGAGCAAAGGAAAAGACAGCTAGTGCCGAACTGGGCTATTGTGCATAGTCTTGTAATTAGTTATGATAATATCATAAAATATTATGTATTATAAGTTCTTTTTGGGTTATATTATAATTCAACTAGCATCTTAACTTTTTACTTTTTAAGGTTGCAACTTATATAAGTTACAATTATGTTTCAAAATTCTTGTCAGTAAGGACTTGAAGTTTTTCTTTCTCAATTTGTTAGCAGTTGAGGTTGCTGATGTTCGAGCTGCGCGTTTGCGGAAGCTAGCTGGTGAAAAATCTGACACCAAAACAGAAAACTCACCTCCAGCTTGTGTGAAAGAAACTTCTGCTTTAAACAGACAACCTTCAATAGATTCAAACAAGAAGGGCCTTCGAAAAAGAGTTGAAAATAGTGAGGTAACTGCTACAAACACTGGAGAGGGAAGAGTTCCTGGAACTAACAAACAGAGAGATGGGTTAAGACTTCTAAGCTCAAATGCTGTGAGTTCAGAGCCCTCCTCTCCTAATACAGGGAGGTCACTTTCCTCCATTGAAGTGGAGCCTTCTGTAGTCAGAGCATTAACATCAGAGCATAGTCCAGTACCCATCACTGGTTGTAGTCAAGAAGCTACAGCTGATAGGTTTCAAGTAAAAGACATAACAGAAGTCAAGAAAGAAATTTCAACGTCATTGTCAAAGAGGCTGACAGGTACATATCATCAGCTACATATGTTACAAATTTCCAGCAGGAGTTAGTAGAGTTTTGACTTCTTATGACAGCTGGTTGAAAATATGACAGTGATAATTATTTACAGTTTTTTTTCACAATGCCATGTTATTCATTAAAAATGCTGTTATTACCTCTAAATTATTTTGTGAATAATCTTAAACATTTAATAAAATGGATATTATTTAAGACTGATACTATATTTGATAAAAGATTTAAATGTGCTCATCTTAACATTATAAAAATTGTTTGTTTTAGCACCCAAGCAAGAAAAGATACAGGTTAGACCAATTCTATTTGAACAGACATCGTATTGATAGCTTGTATTATTATGCTGAATTCCATGATTTGCATCATTCTGTAATAGCTAAAGGGGTGAGCCAATCATTGAACCAGGCATTTTTTTGTGTAACAAATTACTTGGCCAGTTATATGTCAAAGAAACATGTCAAACACCCTCGAGAATCCATTTAGTACCCCTAAAGGACCCCTTAGGTACATGTTAATCAAAGTCATGAGCCCCTCAACTACACTCTGATAATATTATACAATGTACAAAGGGGTAATTTATGCAATAGTAACAAAATAGAATTTTGAAAAATTTCCAGTGTCTGCAGACTGTTCCTGGAAAATTTTACTATTAAGGAAATTTCTGTCACATTTGTGTGAAATGGGAATTTGCTGTACCCAAACTTTCAAGGAATAATATACCATGGACATGGAAAGGACACAAACTTTTGAAGAAATATTCTCCCTTTAGGGTGAAAAAGATCATGAAAGTGGGCATAAGTTTATCCAGGTGGCTGTAGTAAGATATCTTATGTACAAGAGAATAATATTTGAATAAAGTATGGGTGAATATTAGAATTGAGATTTTGACAGCATGATGAAGAATGAGGGAAAACAAAATTTGTGCGCTGGCACATGTACTTGTAATTGTATCTGTTCATACTATCATTTTGGTGTTGCTAGGACCTGCCATACCATGATGTAGCAAAGAAAGTGTTGATGCAAGTTCTGGAGTGCTCTTTTGTAAGTGGATTAGCCAGCATGCAGAAGAGTGTTATTAA